TCTATATTTGAGCAACAAATAGAAAATAAATTTTGAAGATATCACTTAAAATAGCATCAAAAATAAAAATTCTTGGAAATAAACTTAATGAAAATTGTGAAAGACATCTACACTGAAAACCATAAAACAACACAAAGAAAAATTACAGATCTAAATAAATGGAGAGATATGTAAATGGATCAGAGGACTCAATATTGTGAAGGTGTCCACACTCCTCAAATCAATATACAGAATGAATCCAATCCCATCAAAATCCAGGGGCTTTTATTTTTTTTTTAGAAATTGAAAAGCTGTTTCTAAAATTTATTTGGAAACACAAAGTACCTACAATAGTCAAAAGAACCTTGAAAAATAAAAACTGCTTTAGGAGTTAACACATCCTGATTTCAAAACTTACTGTAAAGCTAAAATAATCAAGACAGTATAAGAGTGATGTAAGCAGACCTATAGATCAATGCAACTGTAAAGTCCAGAAATAGACCCACACATATATGGTCATGTGATTTTTTTTTTTACAAAGGTGTCAACACATCTTAGTAAGGAATTCAAACTTTTTTATGGTGCTACAATAACTAGATATGCATATGGAAGAAAAATGAGCCTCAAGTCCTACCTAACAATATACTCAAAAATTAATTCAAAGTAAATCAAAGACCTAAACATAAAAGCTAAAACTACAAAACTTCTATAAGAAAATAAAAGACAGTCCTTGTGACCTTGAGTTAAGGTTAAAAATCCTTGCACAAAGGTCATTAAGCATAAAAAAAAAATTCATAAATGAATGACATTAACATTAAGTCTACTCTTCCAAAGACATTAAGAAAATAAAAGGCAAGCCAAAATACTAAGAAAAAATATCTGCAAAAATATATCTGACAAAGAATTTATATCCAAAATATTTAAAGATTTCTTATAATTTAGTAAAAAAAAACTAATTTTTAAATAAGCATAACACTTTAATAGACACTTCATGAAATATGTATGAATGACAAATAGCACATGAAATGGTGCTCAATGTCCTGACATCAGGGACTTACAAATTAAAATCAAAATGATATATTACTACATACCTATAACTAGACTAACTAAAATTTAAAAGACAATATTAAGTGTAATTAAGGATGTGAAACAACTATTTGTAGAAATACAAAATGGTACAATGACTATAAAAATAGTTTGGAAGTTTCTTATAAAGTTAAACTTGCACTTCCACATGATCCAGTAAACCCACTCTTAGATATTTAATTCAAGTGAAATGAAAACATGTTTAAAGTGGCTTTATTCATAATTGCCAAAAACTGAAGGGGGCAGAAACAAATATCCTTTCATTGGTGAATGGATAAACTGTATCACATGGATTGCCCAGCAATAAAAAGGAACTAACTACTGACCAACAGGTATGGATCCAAAATGCATTATGCCAGGAAAAGAATCCAGATTCTAACGCTTACAGAATGTATGACTCTAACTATATTACACTCTGGGAAAAGCAAAACCACGGGGACAGAAAACACCAGTGGTTTCCAGGGATATAGTGGGAGGATTGGATAAAAATAGCCGTAAGGAAATTTCTTGAGGTGATGGACTGTCGTGGTGATTAAGTGTGAGCATTTGTCAAAACTCAGAACTGTATACCAAAAAAGGTGACTTTTGTAAGTAAATTATACTTCAATTTTTAAAAACTAAACAAACTACAGTAGCACACAACAACATAAGTGAATTCCAAAAACATAATATAGGCAAAAGAATCAAAACATAATTGTTTAGGTGATATAACTAAAATGAAGAGCACGACAGTGAGTTCCATAAAAGTTAGGATAGTGGTTAACTTTGGGGGAGATAAGAGGGTAGAGATGAGATGGGGAAAGGGCACAAGGAATGGGGCAGCTTCAAGTATACCGTCACTGTTCTACTTTTTTTCAGGTGGTTACTTGAGTAGTTACTTTGGGATACTCCATTGAGCTACATTTATATTTTACTTTCTTTTAAAAGAAAACAAGCCAAGTAACTCAGGGCAAATTATAAAAGAATAATATAAAATATATATATTTTTAGAAATATAAAGCATTCGTATCTTGGCTATACCATTTATTAGACGGTATCTTAACCTTTCTCAGCCTCAGTTTACTCATCTAGAAAAAAATGTATTCTGTTTTTTTCTTGGGCAATGCCTAAAGAATTTAGACTTCCACATTTTGTAACATTAAAATGTGCCTATATTTTTACAGCAATAGGCTGGAGGTTATTTTCCCAATATAGTAAGGACACAAAACTGGTAATCTGAGTAATTCTGACATGGACTGATGACTAAATTCTAGAAAGCCCAATCTTTCAGGAGGGTAGACTGCTTATTTGTCTGCATACTTGTCAAAAATCAACCTATGTATATTCAGATGAAGAAGTTAGAATCAAATTATATAAGCCAGAATTATTATAATCAGTCCATACTTTACCTCATTTGTTCTTGCAAATAAATTAATAACACAATTAGTAAGACATATGCAAAATAAAGTGTTGTTACTAACTATATGACTATCTTACTTAATATCTAAGTTTCAGAAGACATATAAAAACAATTATTTCATATAGCTATTTTGGTCAATTTTATGTACTAAGTTATTCACCATATTAGGTTTTAGTATAGTGTACTCTAGTACACAATTATGAAATATAGACAGTCTAAGTCTGAACAAATCAGTTCTGTTGTTTCCCTAATAAATGTATAAAGTAATATTTTAAAGTATAACTGACAATTTTAATAGCAGCTACTGTGTTAATATTTTTAAATTAAGATCTGAAAAAATACATACACATTCTAGCCCAGGGGTGGGCAAACTTTTTTACTCGAGGGCCACAATGGGTTCTTAAACTGGACCGGAGGGCCAGAACAAAAGCATGGATGGAGTGTTTGTGTGAACTAATATAAATTCAAAGTAAACATCATTACATAAAAGGGTACGGTCTTTTTTTTTTTTTAGTTTTATTCATTTCAAATGGGCCGGATCTGGCCCGCGGGCCGTAGTTTGCCCCCGGCTGTGAATCTAGCCCATAATTTCCTTAATAAAATAGTTTTCACAATATCTGATCTCTCATTAGTATACTTTTCTCAAAGCACTGGCTATCATTCACTTTTGCATGTAAATATAACTACATACAAGATAATATTTGTAACACCCATGTAGAAATTCCTGAAGCATTTTGGGAACTTAATTTTTCTAAATTAATTAGATAGTCTATGCCAGTGATCATGAAACCATCTGTAAGCAATATTCTAAATAAGTTTTTTTTAATAAACACTAGAGGGTGCTCTAATTCAACGGTGCCTGGTGTCTGGCTTTAATGTTTAAAATGATTTTCTCAATTAAAGAGGAATTAAGATACTCTTCAGTATCAACTATTTTTGCATCCATCACAGTACATGGGGATAATTTATGAGACAAAATTCCATTCTTCCATAATATATAATGAAACAGTAGAATTCCACTGAAATCATTTTTTATTGTACAATTATTACATATTTAATATTTTGTGAGGTGAAGAGGACAGAAAATAAGTACAGAAGGAGTATAAAGATAGTCCTTGACTATAAAGAAAATTAATGCAGTGTTCATATGGTTAAGAGAAGATATATCACATCTCATAGACTTAAGTTCAAGGGAAATAAAATGAATTTGGTAAAAGACATATAGTAACTCAATTCCAAGTTTAGTTGCTAAGTAGTAAGATACAGTTCAACTATTTTACAAAGGTAATTTGAAAGTATTAAACAGTAAATAAAAGTGATATGATCTGCTGTCTTAAGAAAACTGAAAAGAAAAAAATCCAAGGCCTTGAATATCCAGAATAGGAAATAATTAATAATAATATCAAGTAAAGTTCAATACCTAGTAAAGTATATATTTCAAGAAAGTGGATATTAACTATTTAATCCTAACAAAATATTTTGCCTTTAAAAATGTTTACAGAGAAAAAAATAAATTATAAATATTTATAAAATTCACATACCCAAAAACAACTAATTTCCCTCTCCCCCCCCTTGCGCGCGCGCGCGCGCGCACACACACACACGCACACATGAATGCACACTCACTGCTCACTCAAACACAATCCACTCCCCAAGAAGGAAGTACCTGGCTTATACCTCTCTCTTCCATTCCTTTACCAAAAGCCTCCAAAACAAATCCTAAACAGTGGCACCTGTTGATGGAGGGTCACTTCAAATTTACAATAGCCCCAGAGAAAACGTTTCAGATTAACAAAATACAGCACTAGGGAAAAGCCAGAGATATAACTGAATCAGGCTCACAAACCATTCAGGCTCTAGAAGCCAAAACAGATGGCAGTCAGAGAACTAATCAGATTGCTGGAGCCGGAAGAAATTCTGAACAACAAGCATTGTATTATGGTTTGAAGTATGTATTTGGCACCTGTATTCTTTTGGCACTCACTTCCCTTTTTATGTTTATCTGCCTTGCATCTGCCAGATTCCTAGGGCCCGTATTACACACTAAATGCCCAGCTGCCAACTTCCCTATTCAATGTTACATCACTTAATACCTTCTACTTCGATTGGTGACAGCAAACACATTCATTAGAGATTAATCTTTTGAAATGTTCACATACCTGACCTTTCATGAAGGTTTTCTGAGCCATTATATACACCTCCAACAACAGAAAAGTATGGCTGTGAGACAGCCAGTTACGGGAAACATTTTAGTCTTTTTTTTTCTTTTTTTTTTTAGCAAATCTTAAATCATCTTACTACAAACATTATATTTTGGAGTTATGACATAATCCTAATCATGATCATAGCTTCTCACTGATATTTATAGCTTTTGCCCATAAATCTGAAATGCATAGGGCCTACATAAAGTGAAGATTGGGTAGAAGTGTGTAATTTTATTTACAAACACCAACTTTCATCGCTTACTCTTGTTACATAAAAATTTAAAAATTGTTAAACTAGGATCTTCTATTTGAATAATAATTAAGATGAATACCTGCTTTCCAGGATTCCTAAATCTGGTTGCAAACTAATAGTCTCTGTTGTAATTTCCACTTTCCGTACACTTCCAAAGAAATCGGTTATCAGGACATTTTTAGGATCCCTCTGAAAAAGATCAGTGCGATGTCCAGGAGTAGACACACATAGACTTTTCGGACATACCTGAAACTGAAAAAATATATGTAAGAATAATAAATACACATACAGCTTTTATTAAGCCATAACACAATATAGTAGACTGCATTGTGTTTTTAAAGCTCTCCCAACCTAAAGAAGATACGTTTCTAAAGATAAAGGTTTCACTGTTATAGTAGTGCTTGACATTCTAAGAAAGTTATAAAGACATAAGAACAGGTGATAACACGGGAAACTGCCAGGGTAGAGTAAAAAACATTCAAGTTTTTGAATCATATGCTACAAAGTGTATTTTGAACCCTTAAATCTATGAGAATGCAAATGCAACACTATGACAAGAGAACTGGTTTTTTCTACATCTATATCTATCTTAGGAGGTTGCTCTGCCTGAGTGGTTTCTTTAAATGTTTTGTAATTGTGACCCTTCATTCAAACTTTAAATTCAAATTAAAAATTACACGGTTGCCCTAGCTGGTTTGGCTCAGTGGATAGAGCCGCAGACTGAAGGGTCCCAGATTCGATTCCAGTCAAGGACACATGCCTAGGTTGCTGGCTCTGTCCCCAGTGGGGGGCACGCAGGAGGCAGCTGATCAGTGATTCTCTCTCATACTTCTGTCTCCCTCTCCCTTCCTCTCTGAAATCAATAAAAATATGCATATTTAAAAAAATAACATAACCCAATATGTAAAAAAAAATGAAGTAGAAGTGCTCTGGATCACAGGGAGTTCAAGCATAGCCTCCCCACTAGATATCCCCCTTGCTCTCCTGCTATGAACCTATGGAAACGATTCCATAAATCAAGTAACTTTCATAGTTTATGCATGATGAGAACAAATCCATGGCACCTGCAGACACCAGTGCTCCAAAGACTATTGTCTAAAAGCACAACTTCATTGCTACACAGATCTCACAGTAATTTTTAAGTTAATCTTACTCCTGATAACCCACATCAATAAATTACCAAGGACACACACATATTCAATCACTCAGCAAAGCATATAAAGTATCTATTATTACATACACTTCCTACTGTTACCTTCACAGAAGAAACAAAAATTGGTAAGACATGGTCCTGTCCTCAAGGTTTACCCAACACCCCCTTCATTCTGAAGCTACATGAAGGTAAGGACAGTGCCTGCCTCTTTCACTAGGGTATAGTCAGTGCCTGGCACTTAGCAATAACTCAAGAAATATGTGACTGCATGAACAAGATGTAAATTAATGGGGGGGGAAAGAGTGAATGTCATTGATGCACAGTAATTATCCAATCTAGAATTGTTTCAAGCTTTTATTATGCCTACTTTCTTTATTTCTTTTTAATTGATTTCAGAGAGGAAGGGAAAGGGAGAGAGAGAAACATCAATGATGAAAGGAAATCATTGATACACTGCCTCCTGCACGCCCCCTACTGAGGATCAAGGCCACAACCCTAGCATGTGCCCTTGACCACAATCAAACCTGGGACCCTTCAGTCTGCAGGCCGACGCTCTATCCACTGAGCCAAACAAGCTAGGGCAGTTATGCCTATCTTCAATAGCAACCTCTAAATAGATTTATTTAAAAAGATACAACCAGTACAGAAAAATCAGTGGAAAAAGTGAGCTAAATTCAACAAGCCATGTCAGTACACTGTATTAAAAGTTGTAGGTGCACAAAAATACTTAAGAAAAGGTCCCTCTACTCCAAGAACTTCCCATTAAGCGAGAAAGACACCCACACTCAGTAAGTTCAAAAAAAGATAGACTATGGTAAATGATATGAAAGAGAAATAAAGCTATGAAAAGCTTTATTTATTTTATGCAAATTCCAACAGGGAAGAATTTGGGAAGACTTCCTGAAGGAGGCAGGATCTGATTTTACTCCTGAAAAATAGGCAGAATTTCAATATGTGAATATAAAAAAGTACATTTCTGGTAAGAAAAAGAGCAGAGCAAATGAATGAAAATAGAAAAGTATCTCAAGGAAGAGCAAGATAACTGGTCTAAATCTATAGGTTTCTTGTAGTGAAGAAAAAGATACTACTGTAAAGGTAGATTCAAGGTGTGGTTTTACAAGGCTGCCTTCAGCATATGGCACAGTACCCTAGTAGTACAGGGAATAATCAACTTCACTGATCATGTTAAGATTAGCATACCTATGTGCTATAATCAAATCAAGCAAATACTTACAAGGTCATTCATATTAGTTTGGCTAGCTGGATTAATTTCTTCCAAAAATTCTAAGACATAAAATGTGTATCTATCCATAAGGTGAACTCCAATTGCAGGATCAGGTTGATGCTACAAAAAACCAAAACATATACAATAGCATATTATTCAGCCATAAAAAAAAGAATAAAATAATATGGAATAAAAATAAAACAAGCTCATAGATACAGAGAACAGATTGGTGGTTGCCAAAGGCATGGAGATATGTGGTGGGCCAAATAGCTGAAGGAAGTCAAAAGGTACAAGCCTCCAGTCATAAAATAAACAAATCATGGGTGTGTAATTTATAGCACGGCAACTTCCATTAATAATTCTGTATTGCATATTTGAACATTGCTAAAAGAGATCTTAAAAGTTCCCATTACATGAAAAAAAATTATATAACTGTGTATGGTGACAGATGTTATTTACACTTATTGTGGTGATCATTTCACAATATATACAAACTAGAGGCCTGGTGCACGAATTCAGGCACCAGTGCAGTCCTTTGGCCTGGCCTGCAGGATCAGGCCGAAACCAGCTCTCCAACATCCCCGAAAGGGTCCCAGATTGCGAGAGAACACAGGCCAGGCTGAGGGACCCCACTGGTGCAGATCGGGACCGGGGAGGGACGCGGGAGGTTGGCCAGCCAGGGAGGGACCGAGGGAGGGCTCCAGGGCATGTCCAGCCTGTCTCACTCAGTCCCAATTGGCCGGACCCCAGCAGCAAGCTAACCTACCGGTAGGAGCATCTGCTCCCTGGTGGTCAGTGCACATCATAGCAGCTGGTTGACCATCGACTGTCTGCCCCCTGGTAGTCAGTACATGTCATAGCGAGCAATTGAGCGGCCTTAGCATATCATCAGCATATTACACTTTGATTGGTTGAATGGATGACCGGACGACCGGACACTTAGCATATTAGGCTTTTATTATATAAGATATCAAATCATGTTATACACCTAAAACCAATGTCAATTATACCTCAATTTAAAAAAAAAAAAGTTTCAAAAGCCAAGCAAAAAATATATGTCTAATAACATAATTATAACCAATGTTTTAAATGTAATCAAAGTTTCCTTCTAAGGTATTAAAAAAGTCTAAGAATAAGAAGTAGCAGATATACTCATTAAGCATATAAGTGATTTGAGAAATAGCTACACATTCTAAAGACAATGCAGTTTACAAATGGGAAAAATTACCTACCGAGAGTGAATCTTCCCCCACTTGGCTACTAGCTAAAGCCATTATGTTAGGAGAATAAAATCGCTCATACATGGATGCTCCTTGACAAGTATCAATAATAAACAGTAGCTCATTGTAGCTGAAAGAAAAGTAGTAATATCTTTGACATGAATCATGCTGTTAATCATACATTGACTAATATTTTTACAATACTTCCATAGCATAACATGTTTAAGTTATATCTTAGTCATTTCATTAGTTAAAAATTGAAACTTTTCAGTAGAATTCCCAATACAAATTTGATATTAGAAATATTAAAGGTATAATCCTGTCCAGAAAAACCACCTCAGTGGGGAGTGGTTATTGTGCCTCAACTCTTTCCCCTTCCCTTATCTGTGCCACATAATTCAGAATCCAAATGAATACTCAATACTGAATTCAACAAACACATACTTGGTACTCATGCTGCCCTAGAAACTGACCTACATTCAGAAAAAAAAATAGAAATTAAAAAAAAAAAAATACACACACACACACACACACACACACAAATATGACTTAGTCACCATACTCAAAGAGCTTAAAAATTTAACTGGAAGACAGATGCTAAACTGTACGATAAGTGATACAAATATTTATTGAGAGCCTACAATGTGCCTGATACTAAGCTGGAAATACAACAGTCCCTGCCCTCATATTGCTTAGGAAAGTCAAAGTGCTGTAAGAGCACTGAGAAAGGAACAGAGAGAACTATAAAGAAAGGCAGGTCAGGAAAAGGTGATGTCTGACATGGGCAGTGACGAGTGAGTGTTATTGTATCCAACAAAGAAAGAAAAAGCCCATTCCAGCAAAGAAAGAAAACGCTTGTGCTAAGGCACATACATGTGAATAAGTATAAATGTTTGGGGGAATGGGAGAATAGTACTATATAGCTAGGATTTAAAGTAATTTGGGGAAATGGAGGGAAATTCATTTCAAAAAGGTAGGTTAGGTCAATCTGTAAATAAAGTATCCAATATAAAGTCTGGATCCTATCCTATAAATTTGAAGAAGCCACCAAAGGCTTTTTTTAAGTGAAAGAATAAACACAATAAGCTATATATTTTAGAATGAGCTGCCTCACTGGTGAAAGTGAAAGTAGGGAGCAGATACGTTTTCTCAGAGGTTTATCGCAGACACTGGATCTAGGCAAATAGCTAACATTGCACCTAGAAAAGAAAGTATGTAATCTTTCTTTTTTAATTTTTTTATTGATTTCAGAAAGGAAGGGAGAGGGAGAGAGAGATAGAAACATCAATGGTGACAGAGAATCACTGATTGGCTGCTTTCTGCACACCCTATACTGGGAACCGAGCCCACAACTGGGCATGTGCCCTGACCAGGGATCGAACCGTGACCTCCTGGTTCATAGGTTGATGCTCAACCATTGAGCCAAGCCGGCCAGGCAAAAGTATGTAATCTTGAACCACAATATCTAAGCAGATGATAGAAGGTACAATTAATATAACATTTCTTGTGAGACAAACTCAGTGGAGGCCCCTGAGGATCAGAAACTTCTAAGGTTACGTGAAGCAGTACAATATTGCATCACCTGGGCATGGATCCTAGTGCTGGCACTTTCTAGTTGTGTAAAGTGTGGCAAGTTACTGAATCTGTTTAGCTCAATTTAATCATTTATAAAAAGCAGGAATAATAAAAGTAGCTACTTCATGGAGCTGTTATTAAAACTTAATCACACAATGCCCAGCACCTAGTATGCATTCAATAAATGTAAACTACGAATAAGATAAAACCAGTAACTAGCAAAATCTTCCTCCTCAATACTTCCATATATTCTGCTTATGCTTATAATTCAATATTTATAATAGTTAATTTGTAGCGTAGTTGTGTATTCTCTTCTACTATATTTTTAACCCTTTCAAGGCAAAATAAGCATCACATTACCCTCTGTGCCATATGTTTAAAAGGTACCCATAGGTGTTTATTGAAGGTAACCAAGTTAAAAGCAGTGCTATGGCTATTTTTTAACTTTATTTTTATTGTTGACACTATTACAGATGTCCCCATTTTCCTCCCTTTGCCCACTCCATCCAGTCCTGCTCCCCGCTTCCTTCTGGCCATCACCACACTGTTTTATTTTAAATTCACTCAATAAGTTCATATAACAACTTTCAACTAAAGGGATGCTTAGCATTAGATTAATAACAATATATCATCATAAAGTGAGTCAAGTTACAAATTTTATGCGAATGGTAATTTCAACATTTTTTCCAAATAGTAATATATTGTTATCACACGCAGGGCCAGAGAATGTGCAAAAAGTAAGAATAGGTACAAGCTGGAAAATGAATATATGTTCATAATCCCCCTACATAATGAGGAACGTTGTTAGTGGGACTCTTAGCTCCTCAAAAAGATGGTTAAATAATAAGAGTTGTGATCTTAAAAGGTTAACTTTTTTCCATGGTCTTCAATAACTGAATTTTTTCTTCTAAAAATAACTCCATTCAATAGAAATAACAAACATAAATCTAAAAGAAATGATTCAAATAAGTTAAAAATCTCATAAAGGAGGATCTACAGATCTACTAATCATGGAAAAATTAGGTACCAATTTATCTTGTGAAAAGTAGTTATTTGCTAATTACCGTCTTTTCTGCCACATTTGTTCAAAAGCATCTGCAAGTTCTATGTTGGTAATTTCTTCAGAATCTTGAAATTTCAAGAAACCATTGCCACCATGTCCTTATAGGAAGAGGCAAAAAGATCAAACAGACGCATTTTTTAATGCAAACTACATATATCCAGATATAAATATTTCTTTCTTTCATGGCAATCTTTAATATTATTTGTTATTACATACTCTAAAGTAAAAAATACTGTGAAAGTTAATTTTATACCAATTAGAAAGAGAATAATGATAGACATAAAAGTAGTAGATATAATATCTCTAAGAGTTTTTCTATCATTCAATTATAGAAAAGCACATTTATATTTTCTCATTGGCTCCATTATTAGGTCAGAAATGAGTTTCCATAGATGAAAATTTCTCATACACTGAGCAAACACGTGTGGTGAGAAAGAAGTAGAAGACACTAGCAAGTCTCATGGTATGCCAGCACTATTCACAGTGTATACTTGGAATGCTTTACTACTAGAAAATGTAGTTATCACTTAAAAAGTGATGTTTTTACAAGTATCAAATTCCACCCTGGAGAGTTGACCAGAAGATTCTGACATTTAGAATGAATTAAAGACTCAATCTGTCTGGATTCTAACAACATCTTATCCACTTAATGACTGTTATCTTAAATTACTTAATCTTTCTATGCCTCAGTTTCTTCAGCTGTAAAGTGAGAAATATGTCAGTAAGACCTTCATTAGCATGCCTACATAGCTACAGATTTTATAAAGGCACCTCCCACTGGGCAGCAAAATAGAAAAAGTTTTCTATTTTACTGCCTCTCTGAATATATGCAGTCCTGTGAGCTCAGAAGTGGTTAGTGGGTATGCCTTTGTGGGGGGAAAATACTTCTCCTTCCCATTAGACAACTCTATGGCAGGGCACACAGCTTAGTAAGTGTAAACATATACTGAATTTTAGCTGCCACTCACCTCCCTACCCAAACACTTAAGTGAAGTGCACAACCCACACAACCCTATATCAATTCTAAATATCAGCACCTTCGGTTGCTGTGAGGATGAAATGAACTAGACACAGTGGTTTAGAATACTACCTTAGGTATAGTAAGCCTCAGAAAATACTAGCTATTATCAGTTTTATTACCATTTATAATTAGCAACCCTCCTGTCTTCTTCCATGGGTTAGCAAACTCCTTCTGTAAAGAGCCAGGTAGTAAATGTTACAAGCTTGTGGGTTATCAGGACTCTGCTATTGTAGTGTAAAAGCAGTCATAGAAAACATGTAAAACAAATGGATGCGACTATGTTCCACTAAAACTTGATTTTCAAAACAGGGAGCCCTTTCATGGACCATCATTTACAAAATCCTATTTTAGATTACTGGAATTTCTTCCATATCAATCAACTCAGAAAAAAAATTGTTGTAAAACCTCTTGTTTGGTGCATCAAATAAAGCTAAGCTACAAGACTATACTTCATCCCATTTGCCACAAAGGCTTTAAAATTTCTTGTAACTTAAATAAACTAAAATTAAAATTTTCCTGACTTCATGAACTCTGCTGAGTTCATTTATAAGGTTTATAAATTGACTGCATTTTAAAAGCTGTAAATAAATGCAGAATGATAGATAAATAAAAGGAAACCGCTAAGTAGGGGTCAGTAACAGCCTTCCTGTGACATCTAAGAATCATTCTGCACCTGTTTTATCATCAGCTTAATGGAATGTCCCTGAAAAAAATGTTTAAATGACAACTGATCAACATTCATATTTACTGAATACTACTATAAGACAGAGCACTGGTGATAAAAAGGTGAAAGACACATCATCATTGACACCTTGGAGTTCAAAATGTAATAAAGTCAATAAATATCCAGACAAAAAAGTAATCATAACTTAAATGCTAAAATAGAAACTGCAGATTAATATGGGAGTGCAAAGAAAAGAGCCTACACCAGCCATGGAGATGAGAAGTATCTTAGGGCAATACCAGGACATACCAGGACACGTCTGAGGAAGAAAGGAGGCATTATTAATTACATTGGGACAACAGGTGTAAACTCAAACTGCTGCAAGCAATTGAAAACATAGGTCACCCTAGACTTAGAAAGGAAAATCACTCAGACTAAAACGTTAAGGAATAATCAGGTAGGCAAAGTGAACTGAGAAGACATCAATAAGCAAAGGCAATAAGCATAAGCAAACAATATGAGGACAGAAATGGTCCAATGCTTGGAAGGGAATTAGAAAAAGTATAAGAACTAAATTAAATCAGTAATAATATTAACTAAATTATATTAATTATATATTACATATAGTATAACTCCACAAATAATATAACTATATTATGGAAGACTTTACAACAGCACTCAATGTATAGACAAAAGACTACAGCAGCTCATATTGGGGAACTATACTAAAAATGCAGTTTCATGAGCCACACTCTGGAGCAAAACTAAATCAGGATTTTAGGAAAAGGCCTAAGTATCTGCATTTAGGTAATCCTTATACACACTAATATTTGAGACTCCATCATTGGAAACCAGAGGTTTAAGAAGAGGACGGATAGATTTGCAATTTCTATTAAATACTTCAGTAGGACAATTAATAGGAGACAAAACTGAAGGCAAGGAGGCTAAAGCAGGATATTAAGTAAAACATAAGAAGCTTTACCAGGGTAATAGTAAAAAACAGAAATAAGAAACTAAGGGACAGCACAAAACGTTATACTGTTCTTAAATATTATTTCAAGTTGTTATATATTATGAGAACTAAATAACAGAGGGAACTGTATAACAAATCAACTATTTTAACCAAAAAATCATTTAAGTTGTTTAAATTTCTTTCCATGCAAATTTCTTATTGAAAAGAGTATATCCTATTATTAAATATCTAAATTCTGAAATTACCTGTCATATAAATAAGAATATTGCTCCTATCATCAGAAAGAAGACGTTTTGACCGAGGAGTACTAGGTGGGATCCTCCCAGTTAATACCCGTAAAAAATTCTCCACAGTTACCTGAAAGAGAGAGAGAGAGAGAGAGAGAGATCAGATAAAATAGAACATAGGGAAACCTGATATTTTTTTTTACTTAAAAAAATATTCTTTCTCCTTTCTCTATGTATTACTCAATATAAATTGAAAATAAACACAAAGAGAAATAAACTAAAAATATATTCATTTAAATATGCACCTCAAAATAACTGCCTTCATTTAAAAAAAAACTAACAAAAACTACTTGGGGGGAGGGGGGAGTTAATTCTAAATTTAAAACTTAAAAGCTATGCAAAGTATTGCCAAGAATTTTATAAATCTGGCTTCATAGGCAATTCTTTAGGAAGATAAAAAAATATATAGAAACTTGTGAATAAATTCAGCTATATAACTATTGCAGTTAATCTGGGCAAACACTTCCGTCAGTTCTAGTTCAACCATGAAAGACAGGTCCATAAATCATAAAAATAAAACCATATGGATCGGTCCATGAATAATCCCCAAGTTATGTATCTTTGATTTTTTAGTGCATTTTGTTAAATTTCACGAAAATATCTTGAACATGTAAAAAATTCATGCCTCTTTAAACCAGATCTCCCAACCTGGAATTTCTGCACCTCTGGGATTCTTTGAAAGCATATTTAAAGTCATGGAGAACGTAATGCTAATTTAAAGTTATATTATACAGATCTAAATTTAAAAAGCAGAAAATCTTTCTAGCTTTTTTGTTTGGCTTTTCTCTAGATCATGGTGTGTGTGTGTGTGCATGTGTGTGTGTAAGCTCTTTGGTTTAAATTTATCCCAGAAGACAGCAAATTTTTAAGTGTTTTAATAGGATGTCTTATTGGCTAAAAAGGAAGGAAAAATTCTGTTCTACATTTTATAATGACTAAATAAACAAATAGAAAGTCCAACATTTATATACATTTAATCATTCAACAAATATTCTTTAAAGTCTTTAAAGGGCTAAAGGTACTTGCTAGATATAAGATAGGTAATATATGTCATGTCCTCAAGTAGTTTACAGCCTGGAAGGACATAGATATGCTTTTAAAATTGCTTCAAACAATTCTGGGAATACAGCACATTGTGTCTTACTTTTGGTAGACTTAGTAAAAGAAGGATTATTGAGGAAAACTTCATCAAAGAACACTTCAAATTTTAAACATATTCACAATCTTTTTTTTATTATTAATTTCAGAGAAGAAGAGAAAGGGAGAGAGAGAGAGAAACATCAATGATGAGAGAGAATCATTGATTGGCTGCCTCTGGTAGGCCCCGCACTGGGAATCAAGCCCACAACCTGGGCATGTAGCCTGACAGGGAATAGAACCATGACCTCTTGGTTCATAGGTCAATGCTCAACCACTGAGTCATGCCAGCTGGGCTACAATCTATTAAACTTAAAATGACATTTTAAGGGAGAAAATATAGTATAGTGCCACTATTCAAGTTTACATTTTTATTTTAATCATATATGCATAAAAACACTAGAAGCATATTAAAAGTGGTTACCTCTAAGTAGTGGAAATATGGGTGAGTTTTTTGTTAGTCATTTTAATTTTTCCACAATTAATATATTTACTAAAAATATAAAACTTAAAATTTTTGATCAAATATGAAAAACAAATAATACATTTACTGTAAAGGAAAGTAAATATATGAAACCTCACTAAAATGCTCTCATAAAAACAAAGATAAAATTATTTTATCCTAAATACATATTTAAAATATTCATGTTGTGATAGTTTTACTTATATATTGTTTCCTTAATATGAACTCCAGAAACAGAATTATATCAAGGCTTAAATAACTATTATGTACAAAGTTTGAAGACAAAGAACAATACTATTTTATTCTACCACTATTTTAGAACTTAAGAGTAACAATAACTACATTTCAAAAATGTTGCTAAATTAAAAATTTACCTCATAACTTCTATAATCTACTTCCACATCATCTCCATATACATTTAGTTCCATATTCTTGTGACTAAATACTGTAGCTGGCTTGGGATTCCTAGGGTTGCAGGCCATATCATCTGCAAGCATCAGAACAATGTGGCTAGAAAAAAAATTCCAGAAAATATATTATTTAAATAAAACCAAAAAGTTAAAAACAGATGCATTTTCTCTATGTCATGTGGCATTGTTTTCATTCTTTCCTTCATTAAAAATAACTTGAGCCCTAACCGGTTTGGCTCAGCGGATAGAGCGTCGGCCTGCGGACTCAAGGGTCCCAGGTTCGATTTCAGTCAAGGGCATGTACCTTGGTTGCGGGCACATCCCCATTGGGGAGTGTGCAGGAGGCAGCTGATCGGTGTTTCTCTCTCATCGATGTTTCTAACTCTCTATCCCTCTCCCTTCATCTCTGTAAAAAATCAATAAAATATATATTTTTAAAAATAACTAGAAATCATTATTGATTACATACTTAAAAGAGTTATTTTTTCATATCCTTATATAGTATAAGTTTTAAAGTAGAGAAATTAGAGCAATCTGGCATGAATTTATCTGCAGAACTTAAAGTTACTAATTTAAATTTTTTCCCAACAGAGTGTACTTTATGCCATATAGCAAGAGGAAGCGGTAGGAACCACACTGTCCTCCCCAAACATTTAAAAATAAATTAGTAATATGTGACATTCTCAGGACTTACACAATTCATGTTAAACTATGATATTCCAACGAATTTGACTGTCAGAAGCACAAATGCTTAAATATGAAAACACGAAATCCAGAAGCAAGTGCAATCAGTGTATCACAGGATTACATCTCCTACCCAATCACTCTTCACCAGCTCCAGCTCCCCAGTACCAGCCACCATCATCTCTTGATTGGACGGCACTAGAATAGCTCCCCCCTGGCTTCCTGCTTCCATTCTCACCTTTTTACAGTCCATTCTCCTTATAGCCACCAGGGTGATCTTCCTTAAATAAGTCAAAACATTAAACTTTCTTACTTAAAACCCTCCAAGGACTCGCCACTATAATTAGAGGAAAATCAAAACTCCTTACATGGTCTAAAAAGCTCAATTAATGTGGTCTCTATCTCTCTAGCTTTGTTTGGCCGCTACCATCCACCATGTTCCATCACTGACCTTTCTGTCCTACGAATATGCCAAGCCTTTCCCATTTCAGGGGCTACTGCCCAAATTTAGACTTCTCTTCTCCCAAATCTTCATATCATTTCAACCTCAGCTTAGATATCCTATTCTCGTTATGTATTTTATTTTCTACAGGTGATTTATGAATCTGAATCCCTATCATCTCCCACCACCACCCCCATTAGATTACAAACTCTCTGCGGGCAGGGCTTTATCTACCCTGGTTCGCCACTGTAACCATCAGTAATACAGCCTGGTGTATAGTAGGCATTCAACTAATATTCATGGAGTGAATGAAATATTTTCATTTTTGCATATACTTTCTTTAAGAGAAAATTACAAAATTTCTCTTAAATACTTATCTTTATCTTACCATTAAAAGTGCTGGACATCAATTATTGTACTTGAGCTTCCCAAACATAAGGGAAAGATTAATTTGGCATATGCAACTAGTTTGGCAGGAGATAACAAGAAGAAAATGTTCTGCTGCATATGTTCCAAATACATTAAAGTTCAAAACTGAATCATTTTGATTTTTCTTGAAAATTGGCTAGGTTTATATTTTGAAAGGGTTCCAACTCCACCACATTCAAAGATCAGATCTTCAGCTGTTACTGATTCATATTCAAAAAATGATGAAAGTTATTCCTCTTAAAATGGAAAATATATCTTATATTTTTAATAATGTAAGATGATTAGCTTATATTAAGTGATTATTAATCAGATATTTTTGTTAAAAGCCACCATTAAACAATACTGAACTGACCTCCCAATCTCAGTATGAAAATAAAAAGTATTTCTTTAGGCCATGTTTTTGGTTTAAGATTCAATATCTACTCAATGTCAGTATCATAAAGAAGTAATAATTTCAGCTTCAAATTATAAATTCAATCAATATTTTTCCTAAAATTTTTAAATGTATTTTTCAATTACAGGTGACATATAACATTATATTAGTTTCAGGTTTTCCTCCAGATGCTTTTGAGCCTCAGTATAAGCACAATAACCCTATGTTAACATAATCAATATACCATTTAAAAATCATTATGTTTGTGGATAGTAAATGAAAAACTGGACAGGAAACAGACTGAATTTCAAAGGTTTAGAAGTCCAACCACACACTCTGTTCACTGTTTCTAAAACTTACGAAATGTTCAATTCAGAACTGTTTTCCAAGAGGAAAAAAATTCTCACTTGGTCCAAGTGTTAAATTGTTTGTATAATAATACTTACATACAGGGGTCCTCAAACTACGGCCCGAGGGCCACATGTGGCCCACCAAAAACACTTATCCGGCCCGCCGGGTGTTTTTGCCACCGCTGTGTGCATAGGAATTTGTTCATAGTTTTTTAAACTATAGTCTGGCCCTCCAACGGTTTGAGGGACAGTGAACTGGCCCCCTGTTTAAAAAGTTTGAGGACCCCTGCTTACATATATACATGAAAGTTAACTCCTTAGGTTTATAGTTCTTATAAAACTATAAATAAATATAAAATTATAAATTAAACTAATAAAACTACCAAACTAATACTACTCTAAAAACATTAATTCCACTTGAAGGATGATGTTATTTTGCTAAAACTAAATGGCTACTGTTATATTTAAATGGAGAAAGAGATAACATCAGGCCTGGCTTTACAGTTCATATTTTTCTGTATTTTGACATCCACACTACAATATGATTTGATGATATGAGAAGTCTGTTCACAAAAAACATGTTGTACAAAATGCAATTCATAACTTCCAGACTGTTTACTTTTCAGTAGTTATATTTAACTACGCCTTGGCCAATAAACATTCTTTGAACACCAGTTATCATGAGATCTATCTTGACTCCATAGTGTCTTTTTCACTTGCATATCAAGTTAGCGTCTGAGCAGTTATTTAAGTCTTCACTGAGTGGGTATAAAATAACTGCTGGAATTAAGACCAAGACAATCTACACTGAAAACATACTACTACACACCTATAAATAATAGGTAGTTGTTTCTTATTAAAATTAAGACAAAATCCCTCATATATATCCAATCGATACAAGAATACGATATTCCTACAGATTGGCAATCTTATACTATCAGGTATGATGACTCAATTTTCACACTTTATTCAAGCCCCCGCAAAAGCTACATCGCAAAACAAAGCATATGGTAATATGGCTTTCTCTTAACACAAAACCAAAAGAAAAAGCGAGCACTGAAGTTATATGAAGTTCAAAGTGGGTTTGAAAACAAACAATACATAGTGGTTATTTACATAGGTAGTTTTTACATTTTTTTAAATCATGTATTCCAGTAAAAGAAAAGAATGTGAAGACAAACATATATATGCATACCTATATATACTAGAGGCTCAGTGCATGAAATTCATGCATGGGTAGGGTCCCTAGGCCTGGCCGGCGATCAGGGCCGATCAGGGCCTTCCTTCCCCTGGCTGCCAGCTGCCAGCTGGGCCTTCCTTCGTTCCACACCGCCCCCTGGTGGTCAGCGCACATCATAGCAAGCGGTCGAACTCCTGGTCAGTCAAACTCCCGCGGGGGCAATTTGCACATTAGCCTTTTATTATATAGGATGGATATATATATATACACACACACACACACGCACTTACATATACTTAAGTCTATTATATATATTTAAAGTAGCAAATACTTAAGTCTTAGCAATCTGTGTGTATATATATATATATATATATACACATACATATATATACACATATGTGTATATATATATATATATATATGTATATATATATATATATACACTGATTGCTAAGACTTAAGTATTTGCTACTTTAAATATATATAATAAATATTAGTGAAGCATAGTTTCTTTCCTTTTACAGATAAAATAAGAAAGTGCTAACATTGTCTTCCCTCACCACTCTTGGATATAATCTAGATAGAATACTTTGATCATGCTTATATAGATTTTATTGATCATAATATAAAAATGAAAGTTTAAAACTTATCAAAAAAGAAACATATGTGGGAGGAAAATGGTCTAAAATAAATAATTTCCTATTATCATGTTTGCCAAACATTGAAGGAACAGGTAAGCCCTGCATCAGGACTGCTAGGACTCTTTCACACCTCCCTGAAATTTTCCCTTGGCCCAATCAGGAACCAGTAATCAGTGGTTATATATGTCTATATATATATGTGTGTCTATATATATGTGTTTATCTATACTAATAAAAGTGTTTATCTATACTAATAAAAAGGTAATACGCTAATTGGACTGGACATTTTCCGGATGACCTTCCGGACGTCCATCAGGACAAAGCCACCATGGCTGCAAAGGGTCGAAGAGAGAAAAGAGGGCCTTTGTCGCAGCTGTGAAAGGCCAGAGAGAGAGGGCCTGGCAGCCACTGCACACCAGAAGTCCCATCTCTGCACGCGAGCTGCACAAGAAATACCTTTTCTGACCGCTCACTGGCTAAGCTTGCGGCACACCACTCACTTGGGTAATAAGAATCCAAGAAGGTGATCTAGGGTTTTTCCACCTCACTCCTGGCGGAAAAAACGGAGGTCCACTGCTGGAAGGGCTAAGAAATGTCATATCCTGCCCTAGCCAGTTTGGCTCAGTGGATAGAGCCTCGGCCTGCGGACCACAGGGTCCCGGTTCGATTCTGCTCAAGGGCACATACCTAGGTTGAAGGCTCCTCCCTGGCCGGGGCCCAGGTTAGGGCTCATGCAGGAGGCAACCAATTGATGTGTCCCTCTTACATTGATGTTTCTCTCTGTCTTTCCCTCTCTCTTCCATGCTCTCTAAAAATCAATGGAAAAATATCCTCAGGTGAGGATAAAAAAAAAGAAAGAAAGAAATGTCATATTCTATGAAAGAGACATCTTGAAAATGCCTAAAGAAAGTTGTCGTTTTTTCATGGTGAAGGGATTGGAGTCCGTGTTGATGAAAAAAACTTGGCGGCTGCGAGGTGGCAGTGGCAGCAACAGCAGGGTG